TATATATAGTGTAATATACAAAAAAACCTTTTCTTTTCTAAAACTCAAGAATTCAAGAATCACACCAAAAGTTAGCTTCACTTTGACACTCTCAGTCAACTTAGCTCTACTTAGATGCTAAAACTATCAAAAGAATCAACAATTTAAAGTGACAGTTACTTCTACATATTTTTCCAAAGAATCGTTAAATTGCTTTTAGAAAACTCAGCTCGGTGATTAAAGTTCCACATAATCAAAGTTCCACATAATCACTAGAAGTCATAATATTTTATCCAGCATGATAACTGGATAACTGAATAACTGAATCTCTTAGCAGAACTAAAACGTACAGAAACTCCTGTGTTAGCATGTTTTTGTCAATTTAAATTCCCATTCAGATTTTTATAATAGTCACTGATGCTGAAAACAAATGGCATTACATTACTTTTATAATCATACCTTCAGAGATGCCCCAACTTTCTCTTGAGCTACTTACAGTCATGAGAGTTGGGTAATACTGACAGCATATTAAGACACCTAGACTGTACCCTTCCATCAACAAGAAAAATGAAACTCTTTACTTCTCACCACATATTCCCAAGTTTCTGCAATAATCCTCATCATTCAAAAACACCACTGCCTACAAGAGATCGGTTAGTACACACAAACAGCACAGGAACAACACAGCACAATCCCTGATACATTAAATACAAAGTATAAAGCATACAAATTTCAAAAAGACATACGGTGGGTGCTGGGAGGCAGATAGTACACAAAACAAACTGAATTCTTAGCTACCAGGCCCTAAAGTATGTGTTCTGCATAACATACACCTTTGGAGGGCCTCCAGGAGGAGTCTGGCCATATTAGTACATCATATAGAACTTCTTTGATGTTGCTCTGGTGAGAAACAATACTGTGGATTTTCAGATGAGTAAACCATATAGAAATTATAAGCAAATCAAATTTTAAATGACTATATTACATACATCTAATACTGAAAAACTATTTCCCAGGAAATAGAGTAACACAGTAAAAAAAATATCAGTACACAGAGAACTGGGTAAGACATCGTTTGGCTCTGAGGATTTACAGCTCAAGAACATCAGAATCACAATTTGTTTCCATATGATTTCAATCATGGACAGAGAAAAGAGGGCCATTCTACTTACAGTTCTAATTAGCATTAAAAGCAATGTGCGTCTCTCATTAAACTTATGTTTATAAAATGAAAACTTGATGAATGGGCACATTAAATCTTCTATCTGATATCCAGAAAAAAAAAAAAAAAAAAAAAAATTAAAACGTTATTTAAAACAATTAAAATGAAACAGCAAAATATAGATCCATATGAACTCACTATTCTTGTTTAACACATGAAGTGAGGAATCTGGAAATGGAACACGTGTGGAAGAATGGCATATAGTTTAATCTGCATGCCTCAGCTGGAGAAACAAGAATCAGTTTAGCGGTTTTATGTAGCGCTATCATCAGCATTGTATTCTGACCCCTCAACAACCACCTTAATCAACATAGGAAAAACAGCACGAGGAAGAAGCAAAAAGCAACCTGTGCAACTCATTACATAAATGTTTTATGAAGAACACGACCCTTGCCCTATTTCAAGCTTTTTCTTCCAAAGTGGAATATGAAGAACTGCACTACAGTGTATTTCAGGAACAGGAACAAGATTCTTGGAACAAGAACTTGTGTTTAAATAATTTATTGTTCAAGAATAAAATCATGCTTCCCATTTTGCAAACTGAGAAAGCTTTCAATGATATTAAAACTGATAGAAGACTTTAATGTCTGTAGAATTTTGGGGGAAGAAACTTTTAATGAAATTCCCAGGAGAACCCCTTCAAAGTGATTTGTCATGGAGGCAGAGCTAGTTTTTGTAGGATCTAACATGTGCATGGCTGCCATGGTCAAAATTTCCAAAGGAAAATTCTTGAACGGAGAAGGAAAAAGTGGAAGCAGAAGCATTCAGATATCACTAAAAAAATCTGCCTCACAGATATAATACATGGACTATATATTTTTATTTAGGAGCCTAAAGGAAAGAATCTTTCATGTATCTAGCTGCTTTATGTTAAAAGAGACATCCAAGTATACATAAAAAGAATTCTAAGGTAGAAAAAAAAGTTCTGTTAACACATAACTGTACCACTTTTTTTTTTTTTTTTTTTAAATCTCTGAAAAACACAAGAATACTAAAAAAAGAAAAAGAGCCTAATAAATTCACTGAAAACTGAAGTATGAAAACAGCTTAGTCAAACGGTCCTCTGAAACTGTTTCATATTGTACCATATAGCACCTGTATTGTGCCATAGATAAAAGGATTGCCAGAAGTAGTACTGAAGATAATGGAAGTCTCCTTGAAGGGTATCTGATCTTTCTGTCTATAGCATTTGCTTCACTACGTAGCTTGTACCAGTGTTACAGTAAGATTTCCACGTGTAAGTATGTGAGTGTACACAGATAATACATAATCAACTTAAATATATTGCATTAACTTGAATGTGAACATTAAAGAGGCTGCACATATTTCATCTCATAGAACTTTGAGCAATACACTTCTTTCACAATCCCAGTACACCCAGTCTCAGTCTCCTGTCTCATCTTCTGTCTTGGATTTAGGATACTTTCTCATTCTTGAGTTGTTTCCTTGTACAAACAAGCAAAGCAAATTTCTAAGCCTTGAACAGGGTAAGACGAGTCATTCAAATAAATAAATTTCTATGCTGTGCTCCAAGAAAAGCTTTGGTTGCCTGAACAAAGAATGCTTTAGCCCACCTAAGAGATCAGTGACTTTATTACACAGGTCACGATATAAGTCTGCATTGTTATAATTTCATAAATGGCAGATTTAAGACACTACTAAGAAGTAATTTGTGCCTCTGAATGCCTATTACAATGCGAAAAGCTATTTCCTTCTTCAGTCATTAATCATCACAGGAAGAAAGAATGCCTCTGGGACTCAGTTATTGAGGGGCTGGTGGCAGTTCTTCACCAGGTGGAAACAATTATTTATGGGTACATGACCCACATCGTACTGGGTATGGCTAGACAGTTTCCATGATTAAATAAAATTAAAATCACATTCCTTACCTTTTCATTTGTTCCTATCTGGAAGAAAGCTCTTATCAATTCCTTATGTGCATTCACTGCTTTGTGCCATCATTTCTGCACATAATCTCACAGACCTGCCCCTCTGCTGAGTATAGTTTTTACAAGGGTACAAAACAACACACAGCACAGACTTTCAAGCTCACTTGTCAAGTATAAAAAACATATAATAGATATGTGAACTCCAAACAATTTAGTACTTTCAGCTGATCATTTAGCAGTGACTAATTACAGAACTGCACATGCTGCAAAAATTAATATCCTAAATTATTATGAGCTTTAAAAATTGAGGCCAAGCTGTATTTTTTCTATGCAATACTATATAAGACACAGCAAGCAGTTGTGCCACTACTGGGATTGACAGAACCCAGTCACAATTTCTCTCATTCTCTACACTCAGTGCTACAAATATGCACTGTTGAGAGTACATCTCATGTTTCCTTAAAGCACCACAAGAAAAAGCAGTCTGGTCCTTATGGGTTTAAAGTTTTTATCCATTCAAGAAACCTGAAAATATGAATCCACCAGACTCAATAATTCCAAAGGCATGGAAAAAGAAACCAAAATATCCTTGAACAAACAGATTTAAGTAAATATTTTTTCTTTTATTCTCTGAAAGCTTATGACTGGCATCAGGACTTCAAAATACCTGGTGCTGGACTAGCATTTATCCACAATTTTTTTAAGCCAAGTACAAAGTTTGGTAACCACTCACAACAGGCAGACAATCTGCAGTACTCCCATCAGTATTACCAGTGTGTCAGCAACAAAACAGCTTGTGTAACAGCTGGTGAGTCTGGCCCAGCCCCTGATATATAGTTTGCAGTGTACAGTGCTATTTTTGCTTCATTCACGTGGGTTAAAAGTGACGAAAAAGAACAAGCGCATTCTTCTTGAGCTTCCAAACCCAATTTTCTTCAGAGTTTTTGTACACGTATTTAAGTATTTACCATAAGTCTCTGTTCCCCCAGATGTTTCCTTTTGCAGATGTTAAACAACAAAGATGCTTACAGTCAGCTCATGTTCAGCAGTTCTGAGTGCCCTTTCTCTCACTAATCATAGGCTGCATGCACTCTTCCCTCTTACTCAGTAATAATTTTCATGTTTTGATGCCGCTAGGAAGCAATGCTTGTTAAATACATGCATTTTCCTAGGACTGGCGTAGTCACAATTTCCCCAAGCTTTTCATACATTAACAGCACACACTTTTGAAACTATTTTCTGGCTTTTATCATAAAACAGCTTAGGTTGGAAGGAACCTTAATGATCATCCAGTTCCAACCCTGTGCCATTGCCACCCTGCTAATAAAGCTGCCCAGGGCTCCACCCAACCTGATCTTGAACATCTCCACGGACAGGGCATTCACAGCCTCCCTGGGCAACCTGGTCTTACCATCACAGAATCATAGAATAGTCTGGATTGAAAAGGTCCACAATGATCATCTAGTTTCAACTCCCCTGCTACATGCAGAATCACCAACCACTAGACCAGGCTGCCCAAAGCCACATCCAGCCTGGCCTCAAACGCCTCCAGGGATGGGGCATCCACATAGGGCATCCTTCTTGGGCAACCTGTTCCAGTGCCATACTCAGGAGAAAAAAAAAAAAAAAAAATCACTATACCCTATCACTACATGACTATGAAGTCAGTTCTCTTCCTGTTCATAAGCTCCCCTCTGGAAAGCCACAACGAGGTCTCCCTGGAGCTTTCTTCAAGCTGAAGAAGCCCAGCTCCCTTAACTTTCCTCCTGAGGAGAGGCGCAGTCCAACTCCCGGGCTGCTTCTGGACCCACTCCAACAGCTGCAGTCCTTCTCACGCTTTGAGCCCCAGGAACGCAGTTATTCCAGCTGGGACCGAACGAGGGCAGGGCGAGGTGGGGGGGGGAGGGACTGTCAGCATTCCAGCTCCCTTTTCAACTGCTGTCCCCCTGCTGTACCTCGTTTGTTCCACATCTCTTGCAATTACTGCACACTCTACCGTTAACGTAGTTTATTACCTCGCAAAAGACAGCCTGAGAAATTAAATAAATAGATGGATAGATAGATAAGGTCTGCTTTTGATAGCTAAATTACGTGTCTGGCAAAGAGTAACCAGACAGAACTGCCGGGGCTGCGGGAATTACTGCCAGCAGCACTCCGCGCCAGCCACCTCCCTCCTGGGCGCCCTTCCGACCCCGGGGTGGCGGGGCGGGGCGGCCTATAGGACGCGCCCCTTCCACGGCGGAAGTGCGCACGGAGCCCGACTGACGGTAACGGGGCGCCAGGCGGCTCGGCGCTGAAGCGGGTGCGGGCCCGGGAGATAAGCAGCGGCTCAAGCACGACCCTGCCCCGCGTGTGGCTGGTCCGCAGCCGACGCCGGCACTATCTTTGGGGTCGCAATTGCTGCCACCCTGCCGGCTCCCGAAGCGCCCTGGTGACGCTGCAGCGAGCGGGACGGGCGCGTCCGCAGCCCTAAGCGCGGGGCGGGATGCGCGTGCGCGGAGCCGGGAGTGGGCGGGCTGACCGTGTGGGACGCCCAGCGGCTGTGGGGCCGTAGGTGCAGCTGAATGGACGACGCTGCGCAGCAGAGGTGTGCTTAGGAAAGGTCGCCCCAGAGAAGGGCTGTCTGGTCTTCTGGAAAGAGATCCATCTTATGTGTATCTTCCGTTGTTCCCCGGGCACCTGGGATTTGTTTGTTAGGTTTGGTGTTTTTCAGAAGTCTAGATTTGCGGTTTGGTTGCTCGGAAATGGGAGTATTCATATTCAAAGAAGTTTTATTTTTGCAGCAAAGTTCTTCTCAAGCCTCCTTGAAAGTAACTTTGATTTGTTTAGGTAAAATTGTACCATGTTTGCAGATACGCAAAAAATTTGCTCAAGGGCAACCTTGATATGCCCTAATTACACAAATCGGACCATTACCATAATTCAGTGACAGGATTTAGGGTTATCTGTGTAGCGTTAACAATTTGCTTCATTTACTCAAAATATTTTGCTAACAGTAAGTATATTTGTAGGTGTTCTTGCTTTCTAACTCAGTTGAGACAATGGCCAACTTTGAACAGAACTTCCATCAGGAAATGGTTTCCCAGCTGCATAATTTTGCTGCGGTGGGAGACGCAGCCAGGCTGAAAGCGTTGCTCAGCCGTTCCCCATCACTGCTCAATGCGACTGCAGGTAATGGCTGGACAGCCCTGATGTACGCTGCGAGAAACGGACACTTTGATGTTGTGCGGATTCTTCTCGAAGGAGGGTAAGCTGTTCAGTAGGTCCCGCTGAGGAGCTAAATCCCTTTCTTCCCGTTTAAATGCGGCATCAGATAAGTACGTTTACTTGGTAGATGGCAGAAGAATTTTCAGGCTTAAAACTCAGAAAATTGTGTCAGTTTATAACTGGATTGTGCTACTGCATCGTGATTTCCATACTTGCTAACAGCAGTTTTAACTGTGTGGGGATTTCTAAACTTATTGCTTTGATCTTCAAAGACAGGGTCACTCCTCCCAAAAACCAATACAGTACAATAAAGTACAGTGATACAATCCCATTACAAGTACTATTCTGAGTATAAATTTGATAAGTTTAAGTATTCCACTTAGACGTTTTGTCTCAGGTTTAATTGTAATACACTTGAACCAGTGATATTGCAGAATATTTGCAAGCATATTAACCATTATCTTGGACATGACAGACTTGTCTTTACCAAAGTCAGTGATTGCTGAATTTCATTCATTCATTTATTATTTTTCAGACACTTCTTTCTTTTTAGGCTGTTCCCCCCCCTTCCCTGCCTCCCCCTTTTGGTCAATATGAAACCAGACATGTTTTTTGCTTGTCAGGGACTTATTTTAATTTTTGTTAGCTATCCTCAAATCAAATCAAATCCTGTAGTTCTGGTGTTGGAAGACACTGGGTAAAGCAGAAAATGCTTCAGAGGTCTTGAAACCTCAGGGTTCTTCTAAAGCCAGTATAAAACTGGGATTGACATGTTTCTATTGAGTAACATTCCAAAATGGGAGCAAGAGCTCAGCTGACCTCTATGGTGGCACAGTCCTTGGAGGCATTTAAGACCAAGCTGTATGGGGCCCTGAGCAGCCTGATCTACTGGGAGTTATCTCTGCCCAAGACAGGAAGGCTTGGAATTATTTGATCTTTAAGGTCCTTTCCAACCCAATGTCTCAGTGATTCTATGAAGACCAATTAGTTCCTTTCTGTATCCCTAATTACACTGCCAAACTAGACTAGTTCATTCTGTGGTTATAAGTAATTATCAAGCATGCTGTTCTACAGCCTCCCAGATCTTCTCACACTTATTTTTAAGACCTACTAAGGTACTGTACCTTCTTCTGCTGGGGCTCACCATGGAGTCTCAAATGAATGCTCTTTTGTACCATAATTTGTGTATTCTAGCAAGTAAAGCAGCCTTGCTGTGCCACATATTGTAGATTAAAATCCTCTGTGTTTTTGAAGAGCTCTCTGAGATTTTGGAGAAGTTGCCAGTATGATAGAAGTTCTGCTTACTATTAAAAAAAAAAAAAAAAGAAAGAAAGAAAGAAGGAATTTTCCACTTGTAAATGCCCTTTTCATGGCCGTTCTCTTAGGCCGTATTTACTGATGTGTTACTACAGCCTCATTGGTTTCGTATCAGTAATGTTTAGTCATACTAGTCATGTGGAAAAACGCAATTGCTGGATGTGTAAACATGAATGTCAAGTACAACTAGCAAGGTAATGTTAGTATAACATTCCGCAAACTAAGCCTGAATGATTTTTTTCAATTCATCCATGCTTGAGAAAAGCTATAAGAGACATTTATAGACTGGAAGAAAGACCTTGGCAATCTGAAAAGTTTGGGCCACTGCAGAAGATATTGAATAGCAGTTTCATCACAATCTGCATGGACCTGAGCAGGCAGAAAGTGGAAGACAAAATCGGAATGAAATTCAGTGTCTGAGTGATAAGAAAATAAGTAGAAAATTAAGTAAGATCTTAACCTACGAAGAAAAAAAAAAAAATTGAGGATAAATGAGCGATATCAGTTCTTTAGCACCAAGAGCCTTTATATTACTCTTTGAATACTTTCCCACACTTGAGAGCTCGAACTCTCTCAAACATGATCTAGTTTAAATGAAATCTCAAGTAAAAGCACTCGTGTCTATGATAAAGTTACCTGTGTATCAGCAACGTGAATAGATTGGTGTCTTCTGATTTTAAAAATTATGAGTCAGAAACAGCATCTACTGTATAATTTGAAGTTTTTACAGTAATATTTTCTTTTACTTTGCAATTTTTAATTTACAGTTTTTTACAGTAATTTTGTTTTACTTGGCCCGTTGGTTTAAAATTGACAAAAAATAAAAATAAAAGGAGTAGTTTACTCTTTTT